ACTGACTGTAACGGGATGTGAAACGACAAAGGTATGGATTTTTTGAAGAGTTGTATTAAATTAGAGACTGGTTTTTGTTCCTATTAACTCGCAGGTACAGAGTTCGAATCTCGTTAGGGCGATTTACAGATTGTAATACAGTCTTAACATAAAGAGCATTTTCAGATGTATCACGCAGTGAATTTCTATTTAAACACAAGTCCTCTTGCCATTTCTTCGTGTGCAGATTCACTGTTATCTCTTTAGCATTAAATCGACAAATCAAACTGATGATGATCACGAATGAGTTAGTACTAACAAAATAGGTATCAAGCATGGGACGCTATTGGAATATTTATTTGTCTTATTCCTGTACATTCAGATCCTTCACGCAATTTGGAAAAGGATCTGCTGGGTGACCTCAGCGGAGACTTCAAGCATTTAATGGTGGCATTGCTGCAGGGTGCCAGAAACGAACAAAGCTCGGGAAATGCGTTTTCGTGTGAAATGGTACCAATGAGTTCAGATGTTGCTACAGATGCCAAACTCCTCTATGAATCAGGCGAAAAGTGAGTTACAAAAATGATCTATGATCCCAAGAGGGATCGATCTAATTTTCGAGTGGTTCGTTGTACTTAGCGAATAGGACAATTGTTTTCGGGTCAGTTTTAGTCTGGACTACAAAAAGGACCACGCAGAAGGACAACACCATCAGTCACATAATAAAATGAAAAATAAAAAATAGAAAATTGCCTTGCATTGGACTCTTTAAAATATTATAGATAATATTATCCAGAAATCCAGAGGATTCGAACTCTCTCATTTTCATCTCATCTCGTTGAGCTTACTTTCATTTATGTGATAAGCAGATTTGGAATTCAATCCCGACGAGGGAATCCAGTTTAACAAACGGCGTGTGACCTTGAAAAATTCTATTTGACTCTGTACTCGAGAGAATTTAATTCAGTTGTGGTGAAAAAGTGCTTAGAGTTGAGCAAAGCTTTGTTATGTCATATGATGGAGAGCATCAGAGCAGACTATCATTTTTGAAAATGTTAAAGTTAAAGATTTAAGAAAATCCACCTAAATCA